AAAAAATATATGGCTAAAAGCGTGTATAATTCCGGTCTGATATGCCTACATCTGGACTGTGAAGAACGCATCTTTAGAAAATGCTGGTTGAATTTTATCCTGCTCATCAAAATTCGATAAAGATAAAGGGGTCTCCTCGTGCTGGTTTTGAAATAGAAGTGCTTAAAGCTAAAGTTAAGTGTTGTTTAGTAGCTACCTTGTCATGGTAACCTATTGTGTCACGAAAATGATAACGGCGTTTTCAGCAATGATTAGACAGTGTTTTGATACCATGATTGTAGCATCAACTGATAAAGAGTGGTTATAATGACTCATCAAATTATCAGTCTTGGAAAGTGCTGGAAACTGTTTTGAGCTACCTTAAATTTACGCTAAAGTTACAACTCACGTGTTGCGCGAGAACGAAGCAATAAATCACGAGAAATACGAAAAGAGGAAACGTTGACACAAAAACGAAATATGTTTCTCCGTCAAACATATCCTAAGTCTTCCGTTTTTCCCTTTGTTTTATTATAATTGTTATTTAAAAAAAAAATAAAAACTGCGTTTGTTTGTAACCTTCACACATTTCTACCTGCTTTGAGGATCAAATAAACAAAATTTAAGTACTTAGTTTAAATAAGTGACTAATTCCTTTGAAATATTATCATTCTTAATCATTTTTTTAAGTGACAACTGACAACGAGTTACAAAAGACTATTTTACCTCAGAAATGCTGTAAATTTTATAAAAAGCTTCTTATCACTTCTTTTCGTCAAATTTAACGGTAAAGCCTACACAAAGTATAACAATGGCACTTAATTTTCTGATTTTCTGCTGTTGTGTCACACCTATTTAGTTAAATGTACACAGCAAGCTTTGACACTAGTTCTGAATCAGTTCAGCCCAAGTTTTTTGAAACATAAACTTTTTATGAAGCTGTAGTTTGTTATTTGCGTTCATAGACCAGGCTGATATCTTCTTCAAAACACTCGATTAAGTTATGATTACATTGAAATAATTACAAAGGATTTCCTTTTAATGACGACTTTTAATTATGCGGCCAGGACAAAAACGAGGAAGTGAACACGAGTCGTTGAAAAGAACTCATAAAGTCTGTGCATGAAATCCCGCGATTTCATAATCAATCGCTACTGATAAACGTACAGTTCCAAGTACTTCAACAGTTTGGTAAGAAATCGATCGAGGAAACGAAGTCTTAAGCAACATGGGTGATTCTAATAGCGCTTCTAAAAGTTTTGGTCCTAGTTTCACAGCGTCCCAGCCAAGTGCCGTCTCTATTGCTTTACAAACCGCAGTTCTGAGCCCCACGTTCATAGCAAACTTCCTCGGTAACATTTCTGTTTGCCTGGTTATTTGGGGCACGCGTTCCCTCAGACAAAGACCAAGCAGTTCTATTTTGGCCAGCTTAGCAATGTCTGACTTCTCCTTGCTGTCGTTTCTCCTCTTCCGTTTGATTTGGCTGTACGATTTTCAAGCAGTAAACAAAGCGTGCGAACATTTTATAGTGCTGTTTATAGTACTGTTGTACGTCAGCATTGGTCATATTTGTCTTCTCAGTTGCGATCGCTACATTGCTATCATATATCCTCTGAGGTACACTGAAATTGTCACCAGAAGACGGGTGACGCTAGCCTTGTTGGTTGCCTGGGGTGCCCCTGTGGTTTCCACGGTGGTTTTGCCTCTGTGTTTTGGTGGTGGAGCCCACTCTCAGTTTCGAACAAGCCTGATCGGTTGCTCTGAGTCCACAGGCGAGCCACCCTCGTTGTACAAAGTTCATCTCGCATTCAACGGCACCCTGTTTCTGGTGATTCCATTTGTGGTGACGATTTTCGTCTATGGCCATGTCGCCAAAATCTCTTGGTATCAGAGCAGCCGAGTTGAACCTGGCGAAAACCTGAATCCCGAAACTGCTGAGTTAAGAAGAAGGAAGAAAAAAGAGATGAAATGGATGAAGACAATAGGTAACCAGAGCTTTGTTAGTCCTAACGGTACACTTTAAATTCACTTTGCTATTATTCTAAGTTCATTTTTGGTCACTTTACTCTGCTCCGAGTCGTGATTCGTTTGTTGTTGTCCGAACCACGAGTAATGTGCCAGCTATAAAATGTCATTGTCTCTTGAAACTGTGGCCTGAATAAAATAAAAAATAAAATAATATAAAAAGTTAAAATTAAAAAACAAAACTCGAAAAGAAAGGTAGAAATGCAAACAGAAGCCAGCAAGACTAATTTTACATATTTTGCCTAACTTTGTCAGTAAATAACCTGGAAGATTCTTGAAAGAACCTCTGAATTTAAAGGAAAATATTCCGGTTAGAGGAAAAGCTTTGTCCAACGTTACATGTACAATGTGTGTCTTACACTTTGTACACGTCTGCTAGTACATGTTTGCCGCTCCTCTCTGCAGCAGCCTGTTAAGAGGCCTGTTAAGTGCTTTTTTACTGTTTTGAATGATTAGCATCGTATTCCATGATAATTATTTGACATTCATATACAGTTCGGGTCGAACTATAAAACAACATCGATCAGTGTGATCAATCAAACTTATGTCGTCTCTTCCAGAGTTGCTTTTCGTCTAAGTTACTTGTTTTAACCTGGTTATTGTGTTTTTTTTTCCTTTTTTAACTTGTGATTGCGTTAGCAAGCTACGAGTTACAGTAGGTGATCAGATTATTGTTTGTGTTTTTTTTCAGTTATGGTGATCGGCGCGTTCACCTTGTGCTATCTCCCAGGATTCATCTGTGTACTGCTCACGGTAAAACTTGGCCCCAGTCGAATTCCCAACGCACTCCGCTCTGTCGTCATTGTGTTGACAGCAATAAACAGCGCTCTCAACCCGATCATTTACATGTTCAGATCCAACGAGTTCAGAATCGCCTTCAAGAAATTATTCAGAGGTACTTCGATTGTTCCGCTGTCGACTGAAGGCAAAAAGAAAGCCCGTGCTGATAGGCCATGTCTGAAAGTTTCCACAGGCGACCAACATGGTCGTCAGCCCTCATTCCCAACTGTTCCAACTGAGGATGTGAAAGCCTTAAGTTGTCGTATACCGGCAAGCTCCGAGATTGTTGTAAACGTGACTGAAGTAAACCTGCCATAACTATATGTGGGTCCAGTGGTGATTAGCTCTGTCTGCCTGGCTGGTGTTAGAACCAGACGAAATGTTCACCATGTTCGTTTAACATTCAGTTTCCACTCGAAACTTGAGGTCTACAAATATGGTTATCATTTGAGGCATTTGTCTTTTTATTTTACAGTATCCACCAGGCAGTTTTTTTATTGAGGTTTTCAGTTGCCTTTGAATCTTGAAGATCAAATGCCAGTTAACGATGTGATTTTCATTGATACACATGTGCAAGTGCCGTTCAACTAATTTAGATTTAATGATAAAAATTATTATAAACAAAAAGCTTCACAAACCTTCTCTGAAAGAAAATCTGAATCAAAAGTGAACCTTTTTTTCTAAATGTCGTATTTCCAGTCATGTGTCAGAAGAATCTTGAAATTTTTCTAAAAAAATTATAATACCTACCTTTTCCTCAAAATAGTGGTCCAAATAAAGTTGGGAAAAAGAGAAGGCAGAATTCATCCGGGACCTTCTTGTCATGCAGATTAACTCAGGAAAGCTTAAGGTTACAGTATACCTTAAGGGGTGTCTCGCGCGCAAGCGATGTAGCGCGTGCAGTTTAAGCTGTAGATACCTAAACCCCTATATCAAATTAAAGCTTATGGAGCTGGCTATCAAAC